AAGTTGAAATTCAAATTTGGATAAAAACCTTAACCTAAAGATAACGGTATACCTAAGAAACAAAGGTATTGAAAAAAGAAATTTATAGCAAAACAAGAACTTGAAGTATGAAAGACATAATAATATCAACTATACTTTAATAAGTTAGCAGTTGATCTTTATCCCAATAAAGAAAAAAATCATTGTTTCATGTAAAACAAAAATTTATTCAAAACATATGGATGTTGAATTTTTGTAGCCAAAAAAACAATATATAGTCTTCCTAAATAACCTTAATGGACCCTTATTAGGTTTCAAAAAAATAAATTCATATTAATAATCAACTAACACAAGCCTAAGTCTTAAAACAATTCTAAAATATTGATTTTAGGTCAAAACAAACCCAAACCCAAACACAAGTCATAAACCGAATGTTAATATTCAAATAATGAAATAAAACAACAAAAAAGCCTTACCATATTAATCCTTTCCAATATAGCTCTCCCTTTTCCATATCATATCCTCCAAATTTCTTGTTACCTTGTTAATCCTTTCCCTCTATTTTCCACGGGTTGAATTTAAAAAGCTTAATTTTCAATTGGTGGGGTTGTATTGGTGTTCTTTGATATCTTTAGATTTGAAAAATACATTAGTGATAAATAAAATTTTACTTCCTCATTCACTCCCTCACGTGTTTACATTTTGTGTATTTTACTAAATTAGGCTTTTCACTATAAAATTAAACACATTTTGTTTATTTCAATTTTTTTTTTAAAGAGTTAGATGACATTTGTTTGTATTGCTCGATTTCTGGTCACTATGGTAGCTGGAAAAATAGGGTTGATAGTCTTTTTGACTTGAAAACTGAATTTTCAACCCATTTTGTTTACCAAAAACACCTAGAAAACATCATGGGGAACTTGGTGGTGGCTGGAAAAATAAGGTTGATAGTTTTTTTGACTTGAAAACTGAATTTTCAAGCCATTTTGTTTACCAGAAACACCTAGAAAACATCATGGGGAACTTGATAAACCCATTCATGGCCTTAAAAAACCTAAAAATACATCTCAAAACTCAAAATCAACCTGAAACAAAAAATCTTACCAAGATCAAACATGTTTTTCTTGGCAATTTCAAGGTAAAAAAACCCCTAATATTAGCCCCCTTATTATAAGAAACAATTTAACAACAATTTCAACTATTTTGGTTTTTGTAATTAGTGCAAATTAAAACTTTCTCTTTAATATCGAATTTCAGTGACTTTCTCTCATCTCCCCATATCAAAGGCCAAAAAAATAAGGAAAATAAATTTGAGATCAAAATTAATTTTTCCCTTTAATTTTAGAAACTGAAAGGATCCAATATCTATAATTTGTAAAGTATAAGAACTACAATAAACATATTGCCTAAACTTTTAAAGCCATTCTTTCCCTACATGTTTTTTATTTTGGTCCCATATGTTTCAATCTCACTCTCTCCTAACAAATTGACCTATAATTTGGTTTAATAAAGGCCAAATTATATATATAAAAAAAGAGATGAAAAAAATAACAGTGTGAATAGTCTGTATACAATGTCATGTGAGAAGATTCATTATTTATTTTGCACAATAAATCCCTTATGCATTTTAGTTTAAGTTGATAATTAATTATAACTAAAAAGAATCAGTGTTTTACTATAGAGTGAATTACTGTAAACCGTGAGTGCTTTCACCGTGAATTGCATTGTTTGGTACTATAAAGTGAATTACTGTAAACTGTGAGTAATTTCACTGTGGATTGCACTGTTTAGTAGGTCATGATGAGGCTATAGACCCCAAGCGCTTCGTTGCAAACCCTGCAATGAAGAATAACAAATTTATTTAGTGGGGCATGGTAAGACTACAGACTTAAGCAAGCAGGTTTGCAGATCTGCGTGCCTGGGGTTGTAGATCCTCGTGCTAGACCCACCCATCAAGGTCTCTTCTGACTTGCACTTCGGTTCTGCTACCCCTATAAGGGTTAGAGACTCGTGCGGCTGGGTTTGGAGACCCTGTAGAGAAGAAAAATAAAAAAAATATAATAAAAATTATTATTACTGTCATTATTATCATTAATAGTTAATAAGTTTTTTAAAAAATTATTACTATAAAAACTTTGGTCAGACAAGTTTAATAATATTATTAATATGATAAATATTACTATTTGTGTTCTAAATATTATTATCTTTATTATAATTAAAAGTATTAAAATAAGAATATTATTATTGTGATGTAAATATTATGATTTTTATTATAATTAATACTATTAATATTAAAAATACTGTTATTTTTATTATAAATATTATAATTTTGATGATAATTAATATTATTCATATAATAATTCATAAATTTGTAGAAAATATTATAAATATTGAAAAACAAAAATAGATTTGATTTGTAGGGTAAAATTAAGAATTAATGTTACTATTATTGTTGTTGTTATAATCATCAGTAAATTTTAATTAATATAGACTGTGAGTGTTTTCACCATGGATTACACTGTTTATAAATGCTGTAGACTGAGAGTAATTTCACTGTGGATTGCACTGTTTAAAAGTATTGTAAATTGTGAATGATTTTATTGTGGATTGGACTGTTTATGTTTGCTCTTTGCTAAAAGCATTATGGATTGAAGCAGTATAATGATAGAGCTATTATTTCCATAAAGAGTTGTAAAGACTGCAAGGAGGGTGAAGCTGTCTTTTTGGTTGGGTAGAAAATGGTTAATTTGGGTTTGGGTGGAGCTACGAGCCCCAAGCTGCACACACCTAGCATTGGCTGCCAAGTCTTGGGTGCTAGGGTCAGTCTTGCTCACATGGTTGCAGCAGCAGGCTGCAGACCCCTTACGCTGGGGCTGCTAAGCCCCGGGTGTGAAGGTCAAACCTGCGCGTCTGACTGTAGATCCAGGCAAGCAGGTCTGAAAACTCAAGCACCTAGGATTTGCAGAACCACACATTAGATCCTATGTCAGGAACCAATTCTCTTAGGTCTAGTGTCAGGATCCAAGGTTCTTAGGTTTCTAAATATAAATATTTATATTAAAAATATTATTATTTTTATTATAATTAAAATTTTTGATATAAAAAATATTATTATTTGTCTTATAAATATTATTATTTTTTGTTGTAATTAATATTAAAAATATTTTTTTTTGTATTAAAAATATTATTATTTTTATTATAGTTAAATTCATTAATATAATACTTTTTAAATATGAAAAATTATTATTAATATTGAAAAACAAAAATAGATTTCATTTGAAGGGTAAAATTAAAAATTATTATTATTATTATTATTATTACTACTACTACTACTACTATTATTATTATCAATAAATTTGGAAAAATATTATTGCTATTGAAGAAAAACTATAAATTTGATGTAAATGGATTAAAAACTATAAAAACTTGAGTCAGACGAGTTTAATATTAGTATTAATATTAATATTATTAAATTTTAAACAAATATTATTATTATTATAAAAAAAATATATAATTGATTTGAAGGGTAAAATCAATTATTATTGTTATTAATTTGGTTAAAAATCCCCTTTCATACCCAATAAACTTTGTGCTGGAAAAGAATGCCTCATCCAAGTTGCTTGGAAGTGGCATGAGCAGAAACTCAAAGTTCTCGGGTCTTGCAACCCTACTTGACTTAAAACTATGTATCCTGTAAAAAGACCCAATTGTCATAGGTCCTATGTCAAGAGTCAAATCCCTAAGGTTAGTTGTTAAGACCCAAATATCTTGGATCTTACAGCCGCACCTGACCCAAGACTAATGAGTTTTGATGCCATAACCAAATTCTTTTGGGTCCTGCCTCAAGATTCAATTCTCTTGGGTCGTCGTCTAGCGGGTCCCAAACCCAAAAAAAATTGGATCCTGATGCCAAATCCGTTAGCTTGGGACCTGAAGCTAGATCCAAGTGAATGAGGTCCCTTATCAAGGCCTAATTCTCTTGAGTCCTGGTATTAGGATCCAAGCTTAGGCAGTGTTTGGCACTTGGTTGGAAAGTGTTTTTGAAAAATTATGAAAATTTTTATTTTTTTGTTTTAAATTAATATATTTTTTATGTTTTTAGATTATTTTGATATGCAAATATCAAAAATAATTTTTTTAAAATGAAAAATATTATTTAATATATTTTAGAATAAAAAGTACTTTGAAAAATAACCTATACCATAATTTCAAACACTTTCTTAAATGGTTTTTCATTATGACCTAATTTTTTTAGATTTAAGGTAAAATTTAATTTTTTTATATTTTAAATTTTTATAGTATTTTTTATAAAAATAAAACATAAATTCGCAGTGCAACTTAACCCACTTAGATGTTGTTTGGTAACGTCGATGCGAGTGAACCTCACCCGCAACCATATATTTTAATATTTGGTAAAGGAAACAAACTTGATTTTACTTGGTAGGGCCCACTAATTTTTGTTGCCCAGCCGCAGGATTAGAGATGCAGCATTTTGCTGCTTCTCGTGGTTATTTTTAGGAACACTGGAGCCATCCACTGTCACAATGTTCAGTTTTTTTTTTTTGAAAAACCAATGAGAAAAGTTTAGTTTTTTTCTCTCGAAAAACCAGTGCAGTTAATCATGAATAATATTTAAAAAAAATTAGTTTAAGATAAATTAAATTTACTCGTACTGTAATGAACTTGTAAATTTTTTTTAAAATTGTGTTTTACTCGAAAAACTAGTATAAAATTTAGTTTCTTGAAATTCACTTTTCCCGAAATTCACTTTTTTTGGAATTCACTTTCTAAAAGAAAATAACTTTTTATTTTTTTCAATCTTAATTTTAATTAAATATTTATTTTTTAAAATTAATTTCAATTAAAATAATTTTTTTAAATCATAACTACAAAGGGGCCTAAGTTAACTAGCACTCTTGGCTAGCCGACGTAACTAGTATTAACCAGCACTCTTGGCTAGCCGACGTAACTAGTAGATAACTATAACTCGCACAATAGTACTAGTACGAAACCAGTAGTAATCGAAAAGTTTGAGGAAGCACCAGAGGACAACAAAGCGGAGATAACCGTTTACGCAAAGGCTAAAGAATGGCTCGTCATCGTCATTGAATTCCAAACCAACCGCCTCTTAAATTTCTGCTTCCAATTTCCAACATGTCCTCTTTCAATATTTTAACAGTTAAATCATCTCGTGTCATATATCTCCCATGTCCACGTTTCCCTCAGCCCCAAACCAAATGCCATCTTCACAATATTCCTCCTCTTTTTAATACTAATCTCGCACCGAAAATCTTAAACTCAAATCTCTTCAAATCCCATTTCAGCTCTCCACTCTCAAAGTAGGATTGGACTTTTAATTATAGCCAGCCAACCATGAGGTTATATGTTTATGTCTTGCAAGGCAAAGACTTGGCTGTGAAGGACACTTACTTTATACTTCAAGTTGGTAAGCACAAGTCCAAGACTAGAGTTTTCAGAAACAACTCAAATCCTGTATGGAATGAGGAGTTTGTTTTCAGGGTTAATGGTAATAATGATCAGCAAGAGTTGGTTGTCTCTGTCTTTAATCATGATGATGATGATGATTTTGGCAGCTTCTTTAATGGCTCTGGGGATTTAGTGGGTCGGGTTCAGATTCCTGTTTGGTCTGTTGCAGCAGAGCAGAATCAGACCTTGCCACCTACTTGGTTCTCGCTTGAAAAGCCCATGACTGGCAAGTTTATCAATATGGATTGTGGTTAGTGTTGCTACCTCCAGATTTTTATTAAAGTGTTCGTTATTGGAATATATATTGAAATTTTGTTTGGTTTAAGCAAAAGATGAAACTTGCACTTGCTTGCTTGAGGATGAAATACTGAAATTTTTAGGTCCCATTTTTCTTAGTGTTATAAAACAAGTGACGATGTGCATTGATGATGATAAAGAAGAATTTTATTATTTGAGTGAGAATTCCTGCTTCAATTACCAACACATTGATTGGAGTGGTAAGTGTGGATTTTGTTTTTCAATTTTTGGAGAATAATTTGTTGAGCCTGGACCCTTCACATAGGATTTTAGGTTGTTTCATTCTGTTATCTTATTCATTGACAGAGACTGATTGTAAATTATAATTAAATTCAATTATTGATTCTCCCTAGGATGACTTTCCTTCCCTCCAGTGATTGTTTAGCTTCAGATTTACCAGGCAATCAATTCTGTGATAATTTTTGGGTGAACCTATTGTAACTTGTGAGTGTTGAAGGCTAGTTGATTTTCCTTGACTGGGCCAATTTGTAGAGTTCCATGTTTCGGCAACTATGATTCCTCTTTGACACTATATTGCCAGTTATGGAATTAACTACCATGCTTCTGTGTGGATTTGATTTTCCATTGCTTATCCAAAAAATTCCCCATAGTTATGGATCAGCTGCTCAACATGATAGGCAACGTTTTCCTTGTATTTCTGCTTATTCTGTTGAAATTCATTTAGTCTCGACGGTGGTGCATATGTAATTTTAGGTTAAGAATGCATGATTTGTCATGTTAGGTGCAATGGAGGCCTCAATTTTATATATGACAATTTAGTATTTACCTATGTGCACAGGGAAAATTCTTCTCAGTCTCTCCCTGACCAGAAAATGCGACAAATCTTCTACTAACCACTTTGTTTATGCAAACACAAATGTTAACGAGGACTGTAAAGAATCTGAAGGCCCATGCATATCATCTCATGGCCTGCATGGCTGTAAAGCTCCACGTATCAAGATAGCAGAAGGGAAGAAGTTAATGAAGACCATCATGAGTCGTTTGGAGAGGGTTTTCAATAAGCACGAGGAAAATTCAAGAACTGATGATTCTTCAGAGTTAACTAGTGCTTCTTCTGATTGTGAGGATTGTGATCATTCATCAAGTTGTAGTTTCGTAGAAGGATTGGAGATCATGAGTTCAAGAGATAATGAACAAGAAATGCCTGAAAACCTCCAGGGTGGTGTTCTTCTTGATAAAATATATGTTGTCCCGTCGTCGGATCTCAATATGTTTCTTTTTGCACCCAATTCACAGTTTAGGAAGGACCTGGAAGAGCTGCAGGGAACAACAGATGCTGAAGAGGGGCCTTGGACATGGAAATCAGCAAATATGTCTTATTTAACGCGAATTGTTTCCTATACAAAAGCTGCAACAAAGTTAGTTAAGTCCGTTAAAGCTACCGAGGAGCAAACCTATAAAAACGCAGATGGAAAGGAATTTGCAGTATTGACAAATGTTAGCACTCCAGAAGTTCCATATGGAAATACATTCAACATTGAGTTGCTATACAAGATACTGCCTGGTCCAGAAATATCTTCAGGAGAAGCATCTTCCCACCTTTTAATATCATGGGGAATTAATTTCTGTAAAAGCACAATGATGAAAGGTATGATTGAAGGTGGAGCAAGGCAGGGACTGAAGGAGAGTTTTGATCAGTTTGCCAACTTGTTGGCTCAGAATTTTAAGACCATGGATTCTATGGATTCATCAAACAAGGACCATATGCTGGCAAAGTTGGAAGCAGCACACCAGTCAGAATGGCAATTGGCATCAGATTACTTCTGGAATTTTACAGCTGTGTCCGCCATTTTTATGATTTTATACGTAGTTGTGCATATTGTTTTCTGTGAGCCAAGCAGAGTCCAAGGTTTGGAATTTAATGGTCTTGATTTACCAGACAGTTTTGGACAGCTCATCACTTCTGCAATTTTAGTCATTCAATTGGAACGAGTTTGTAACATGATGAAACACTTCATACAAGCTAGGCTTCAAAGAGGTAAATCTTATCCTAACTGCTTGTATCTTGTTTCAAACTTTTGTCTAAACCACCCTGAAATTGTTATCACTCATGTAACTCCATCCTAGGATTCGTTTAATTTATTAACTATTTCATAGGCAATGACCACGGTGTCAGAGCCCAAGGTGAAGGATGGGTTCTTACTGTGGCATTAGTTGAAGGCACCAATTTACCATCCTTGGATTCGACAGGGTTGTCAGATCCTTATGTAGTGTTAACCTGTAATGGTAAAACAAGAACAAGTTCTATACAGCTTCATTCGAGTGATCCCCAATGGAATGGTAAGGTGTTTTTCTTCTGAGGATTATTTGCATATGTTTTTTTTATTTATAATTATATGTGCAAAACCATGTTTGAAGCTACATAATGCAGAAATACAAGAGTTTGATGCAATGGATGAACCACCCTCAGTTCTAGATGTGGAAGTTTTTGATTTTGACGGTCCATTTGACCAGGCCACCTCACTTGGGCATGCTGAGATAATGTTTTTGAAGCACACATCAACTGAACTAGCAGACATGTGGATTCCCCTTGAGGGAAAGCTCTCGCAGTCTTCTCAATCAAAGCTACACTTGCGAATATTTATAGATAACGACAAAGGTGTTGAAACTGTAATGGGGTACTTAACAAAGATGGAGAAGGAAGTCGGGAAGAAGGTAAACACCAAAGATATCTGTTGGAATTACTTTTAACGGGAAGTTTCACATCATCCATGTGTAGTTAACTACTTCACACTTGGATTAGAGAGTTTATTATGTCCCCTTGGTAGCTCATATCTAAAGTTCATAAGATTCTTGAGTCAGAGAAAAAAAACATGGTATAGGATTCCATTAATGAATCTACATTCTTATTGCCTTTCATTTCTATTATAGAAATTTAATCTAAATTATATCTCACATTGTCGCAGTTGAACTTACCATCACCTCACAGGAATTCGACTTTCCAGAAATTGTTTGGGTTGCCACCAGAAGAATATCTCATCAATCATTTTACATGCCACCTGAAGAGGAAAATGCCTTTGCAGGTGCGAGTTATGGTTTCCATTTCTACTTCTTCACTCTTAAAAGCAATTGATTATTAGGCTATTGTAATTTAATTAGTTCGTTTTGTTTAAATATAATAAATATATAAGTCGGTAGCATGATGTGAAACCACTGTAAGAATCGGCAAAACTGCAGATGACCTCTTTACTAAAATCCTAAAACGTTGTTTATTTTATAAAATTTTCAAATAACACCTACAATTGCCTAACCTTACTATTAATAATAGTAACATATTACATAAACTTAAAATTTATGCATAACGCATTGGATGATCTTGCATACTAGTCTTGCTAATTTATTTCCAAAATACCTATGGCCTGATGCTGAGATGTCTCTTAAATGCAGGGAAGGCTTTTTCTGTCTGCAAGAATTCTTGGTTTTTATGCCAATTTGTTTGGAAATAAAACAAAATTCTTCTTTCTCTTGGAGGATATCGAAGACATCCAAGTGCATCCTCCATCACTATCATCCGTGGGTAGTCCTTTTCTGGTCATAATTCTGCGAAAGGGAAGAGGTCTTCATGCAAGACGTTGGGCGAAATCACAGGATGAAGAAGGCAGGCTAAGATACCACTTCCAATCATTTATTTCATTCAACATTGCTAGCAGGTTCGGTGAGACGAATAATCTCTTGACTCAAAATGGTACATTTCTTTTATTGGAGCTGATGTGATTCACCATGTTGTATCAATAGGACAATCATGGCCTTGTGGAAAACAAAAACAATGATCCCTGAGCATAAAGCACAACTTGCTGAAGAACAGCCTCAAGATGAAGAAAAACGGTCCATCATGCTTGAAGACTATGGATGCTTTGTGAGTGCTGAAGAAGTAAAGATGCCCAAGATTTTCTCTGCTGAACTTCCTATTAGTGTAAAAAAATAATTCCTGTCTCATTCACCTCTCCATTTCATTTGTAACAATTGAATCATGCTTGAAGACTATGGATGCTTTGTGAGTGCTGAAGAAGTAAAGATGCCCAAGATTTTCTCTGCTGAACTTCCTATTAGTGTAAGAAAATAATTCCTGTCTCATTCACCTCTCCATTTCATTTGTAACTATTGAATGAAGTAGAAGAGCGTTTCATCAGAAATTTGTCTAATGAAGTAGCATTAAGACCATAAAACAGATGAGGATTATGTGGCTTCTCTTATTATATTTGCTTGCAACTTAAACTATAAGGTTGATACCTAGTGAGACTCGGATTAGGACTCTTTATGTAGAGTATTTCTGATATGATGGCTAAGAGTTGACATTCAAGCCTTGTAATGATAATTCTGCATACACCTTTCAGAATCGAGGTAAGATTCAGCATTTATGTTTTGCTACTTGTGATACTGGTGCTGAAAGCTGTGGTGATGTTGCCAGGTAGAATCACTGATGGAAATGTTTGATGGAGGAAAGATGGAGCACGAAATCATGGAAAAATCTGGACGTCTTAGCTATGCAACTACAGCATGGGAGTCAGTAAAGCCTGGAGTTTTTGAACGGCAAATCACGTACAGATTCAAACACCATATTTCAATCTTTGGAGGGGAAGTCACCTGCACACAACATAAATCTCCGCTTGAAAATGATAAAGGGTGGACTGTTAATGAGCTCACGGTGATGCATGATGTCCCATTTGCTGACTACTTCCATGTATGATGTCTCCTTATTATACAGACGTTTACGGCTAACACGAGTCATTTATTGTTCTGGTTCTCTCCTTGATCTTGTTTTTCGTTCCCTGTCCGCAGGTCAATCTTCGGTACCAGATTGAGAAATCCTCCCTTGCTCATGGTGCATGTAAGTGTGGTGTTCATGTTGGGATCACCTGGTTGAAAAGCACCAAGTTCCAACAAAGAATCACTCGAAACATAAGTGATAAATTCACACAGATAATAAAGGAGGTATTTGAATTGATCAAGAGGGAGAAACTTTTTGCAAATCATGATCAACATCCCATTCGACACGAAGATGCTACAATGCATATTTGATGCTATATATCTTTCTTTCTTTTTCTTAATGTCTTTCAACTAGCACCAAATTCAAGTTGGCAAAAGATGGACCTTGGGTCATCAAACATGTTACGGATATAAATAGGATTAAGGGCATATTCAATCCCTCTAGAGCCAAGGACATGTCTAATCCAAAACAAGTATTATTAATACGAAATCCTAGAGTATGATGCGTCTTTGTACTTCATTAATTAGTTTTTTACGTAAGGTTTTATATCAAGTAATAAGCATGCTTTATTCGGACTATTTTTTTTCTTTAATCTCTCTCTCTCTCTCTCTCGAATATCATCTTTTGTTTTTCACTAATACTATAATTATATAAAAGAAATAAACAAGACAAAGCTACAACATTTGAATACCCTCCGTTGTCAATCTGAAATAAATTAAATGTACAACTAACTGCTCCAAAAAAAAAAATTCACTCATTTTAAATTTAAAAAAAAACCCTCATTGTTTATGTTCAGGGAAAGAAAGAAGAAAGAAGAATATATATAATATATTTGTTGAAATTATTAGCGAAAGTGAAAACATTGGTGATGTTACAAAGCCTATCATTTTTATTTATTTCTACCAAACAATGGTGAGGGTTACCTATAATTATTTTATTGATATCATATCAATAATATCTATATTTTGTGATATAATATCACAACTCAATCATTCGAGTAAAAACTTTAATTTTTCATCTAATTTATTATAATAATCAAATTCAAGTTTATTAGAAGTTAAATCATTTATATATACCCCACTATTATGAGTTTTTATATTCTCACCGTATTATTTTATATAAAAGACATTCATTAATGAGATATTCATTGTAATATTAAACCTTTCTTTCAAGACCTAAAGATAGAAATTTCAATCTATTAGTTGCATCCATATTGAACACCTGTTTATATTTAACAAATATTAACAATCAAAGGAAAAATACAACCAATTCAAAACCTTGGAGTTATTAATTTTTAAATATTTAAATGTGTTTTAAACCACACGGTGAGTTGTTCATCTTGTAATTGGAATACTTGAGCTTTAAAAACATCTGGATTTTGACATAACAACAATTGATATTACTGTTTAAAATAAGTTATTGAATTAGTACAATTATCAATCTTATAATTTAATATAATTAATGAGAATTCTATATAATTGAAAAAATGACTTATTAAATAAAAGGTCTTAATTCATCACAGTTAAGTAGCATTTAATTATATATTTGTCTAAATTTAAAGTCTGTTAGATATCTTCTCCTAACTGATTTTTTTGATAAAGTCATCCATGATGATAAAATATTATTAAATTTTCACTCAGAAATGGTTTACCACCACCATCATTTCTGGGAATGCAATTGCTTATTGTTCTTAAGTGAAGCTCAAAATAACACAAGATAAATGTAAAGTTATTCAACAATTTAAGCCTTGTATATCGAAGTCTCAACATAATCTTTGTTTTTAACCTTTCTCTTGAAGTTGAATAAGTATATGCATAAATGTTATTAAAGATGAATAATTGAATGTTGAAAAAAATAATGGATAATTACTTAGGATGTCATTCCTTACCTTTTGAATAGATATATCTATCTATATTACATATGAACTCTTACCTTTGTCTTATACACTAAATGTATGGACAAATGCTCTATTAAGTCAAAGAATAAGGAAGGGAAGATTATTACAAATTTGTAAATGGTCTTAATGATGTTTATTTCAAATTGCTGCATGTGTTAGGTATGAAACTTATTAAAAAATATATCCCTAAAAAAGTGACTAATCTTTAAGAGTGCATCACAAGTCACTTTGATAAAAAAATCCCAAAAAACAATAGGAATAAAAATTTGTATAAATACATGGTGACCATGAATCTTCATCCCATACAATATACTTTCCTTATATCCACTAATATAGATATTTTTTTACATAACCATTAGGAAATCATAAACTCTTTAGCCATTCATAAAGAATAAAAAAGTGATTAATCTTCATGAATGCATTACAAGTCACTTTGGTAATAAATCCTGAAAAGCAATAGGAATAAAAGTTTGCATAAACACATGGTAGCCATGAATCTTCATCCCATACAATATGCTTTCTCTATATCCACTTATCTAGATATTTTTTTTGCATAACCATTAGAAAATCACAAACTCTTTAGCCATTCATAGAGAATAACTTGCCTCTTATTATCTAAGATGAATATGACTTTGGGCTTTACAACACAAAACCCATCATTAATCAACTTTATATTCTCATGATCACAATACAAAGGTAAATTCAATATAGCTTTCATCTTGTCTTTTGTTTTCACTTTCACTTCTTATAATTATGCTAAAAGTATTGTTAAATACATTCTTCTCGATATGTATGACATCTAGATTATAATAGATAATAATAATCTTTCAATAAAAAAGATCTCAAAAAATATTTCACTTGATCTAATTACGAGTCATACCAAAACTAGAGAAGTTTTGCCTCCTTAAATGAAAAAAAAAAAATCCTTCATATTTGGAAACTTTATTATGCAATTAACCAAACACATTGGAGACATCAAATATCAAAACCTTTACATGAGTTTGTATGACTACATAATATAGATCAAATCATATTATGTAGTCATAAAAACTTATTAAAAGTTATCTGATTTGATCTAAACTCTATATACAACCTGTTAACATTGATCAGAAAAAACAACAATCCAATCTCCATATAAGACAAAAAAAATCATAATTTTTTTGTTTTGGAAAAATTTAAAAAAAATACATAGTTTTTTCTCTTGCTCATTATCTTCTATGATTCTATCATTCTTTTCTTGTTTTCCTTGTTCATATTCTAAAATCTTAGGCTTTTGAGTTTCAAATATATTTCTCTCATCCTTAATTACATCATCCATTGAGTCTTTAAATCAGTGTTTTAAAACCCGGCCCGACTTGGCAGGATATTTCTCTCATCCTTAATTACATCATCCATTGAGTCTTCAAATTGGTGTTTTAAAACCTGGCCTGACCTTGCGGGTCATCTGGGGATTCGGCTGACCCGGGGCTAGAACCGAGTAGTGTTTTAAAGCCTGGCCTGACCTTGCAGGTCATCTGGGGATTTGGCTGACCCGGGGCTAGAACCGAGTCGGGTTGATGAAAAGGGAATTGACCTGGAAAAACCCGATCGACCTTGCCGGTCAAACCGAGTAAACCCAGCTGAGACTCGATTTATATATATATATATATAAGTTAAACGACGTCGTTTTTAACTTTAGCTTTTTACTATCAATTAATCCTTGTCTCTCTTCAAAGTTCATAGCCATATCAGTTTTTGATAAGCCTCCAGCTTCCCTCTCTCTCTCTCTCTCTTACTCTCTCACTTAGGCAGTCAAAACTGCAAAAATAAAAAGAAACAGTTTCTTAATCTTAACAATTCTATTGGTTACATTCCTTCCCACTCTCCCTTTCTTTCTCCACAGATTTCCCAACAAATCATTGCCTCTCAGTCCTCCTCAATGACTTGTCGCTTAAATCTTCCCACTCAATCTTCTTTAATTCTTCCAAATCTTGTTCTTTTGATCTTGATTTCAAGCTTGTTGATGACCCAAAACTTGCCCTGCAACGTTATGGCCAATACTTATATGATACTTATATGATGGCTTAATTCTCTTTTCTCCTTCAATCGAAAGTAAAATTTTAATTTCAAACAAATTGTTGTTTGTTGTTATCAAGTTATGATTTTTATGGTTCAATTTTCATTTTGAGAAAATGGGTTTTGTTACGAATTTTTTTTTGTTTTCTTGAAATAATTTGTAATTTGAGATTTTTTTTGGATTTGATTGTGCATTGAATTTAGCTGTTGTTCTTGACTTTGTTGACTCGGGTCGTGATTTAATTATTGTAGCGAATAATTCCTCTTCTGATTTGATTAAGAGTCTAGCTACTGAATGTGGGGTTGATTTCGATGAGGTTGGTGTAGAATTTATGATGCATTGGATGTTTTTGTCATTTTGTTTTATTTATTTTGTTTATTGAGTTTACATTATATTGTAAGATCTATTTGCCTTGGTTATTTATCATAAAAAGTTTTTTTTTGGATTGACCTAAGCCAACCCATTTGACCCGTGACCCAATCGTTTTTCCAGGTCGACCATCAGGTTGGGTGTAAAAATTATGCTTTAAATGACTTCATACATGGTTTTTCCTCTTTCTCACCATCATTTTTAATGTTATCATCCTCTTTTTACCTTTTTTTTCCTTGCTCATCTTCTAAAATACAAGACTTATGTGTTTCAAACATATTTTTCTCATCTATAATTTCATCGTTCGGTGAATCTTCAAGTGACTCAATACACTTGTAAGTTGATATGGCCAAAGGGGTTGAGGGAGAAAACTATGTTCGCCAAGAAGGTTTTATTGAATCTTGAATCTTATAGATTCAATAAAACCTTCTTGGCGAACATTCATTTTTAAATCAAATGACATTGCTTTGGAAATAAATAAAAATAAAATTCTTGGATTTGACTTAATCAAGTCTCCCCCTTGGCCATATCAATTTACAAGTTGGTAGGAATAATAAGTATAAGAAAACCTACCCAAATCATCATATGCAAGCTTAAACCATGTACACTCTCCATGAATAGAAAAAGGACAATCAATCACATATTATGTAAATAATTTCCCACCCTCATCACTTGCTGTCCATCCTATTATCACCTTCCAACTATAGAAGATCGACCTTTCTCTTTAACATTAACGTCATAATCATAATCATTAGTCATTTCACTAAACTACAGAGGGGCTTTTAGTAACTAAAAAGGGTAATATGTTTTCAACTTTTTTTTATATATAAATAAAAACCAAGCTTGCTATGGTTATCTATGCTTTTCCTTATAATTTAAATCTTTTTATTTTTTTCTATTACAATTAAGAAATTAGATCCTTATCTTCTTTTTATTATTAGCCTTAAGATTTAATCAGCATAGTCCAATAAATTTATTAGTGTGGGGTATAAAATATATGTAATGGTGAAAATTAGAATAAAAAACTACTCACTAGATCTTTTCATTAAATGGAGCTTAAGTCTTATTGATTCGTTATAGCTTTGACCAACATAAGAAATAGAGATGGAAAAGTATGTTCTTTAAAATTTTTTTGTGAAAAATTCTCTATTATATTAGATATAATAGATTATGTAGTCATGAAGACTTATTAATAGTTATTTGATTTGATCTAAACTATTTATGCAACCTTCTATTTTCAATTAAAAAAAAACAACATTTAATCTTGACATAAGACAAGAAAAAAATTCATAATCCTCTTATGAAATGGTCAATATAAAAATAAAAAAAATAAAAAAATATCTTTTCAAAAAGAAAAAGTTGTTAGAAACTTCTTGAATCCTTGGTTGGTCGGGTCAATTCATGATTTAACGTGATCAACTCGAATCTATCCTAAAATGTTGGCATTTCAAGTCTTTTTTTTTTTAAATCAAATGACATTGCTTTGGAAATAAATAAAAATAAAATTCTTGGATTTGACTTAATCAAGTCTCATCATTTTGATCGAATCAATTGAGTCACGAGTTAGCCTTCTAGGTCACCCGAGTTTGACCCTTTAGGTTATTCGTGTTTAGCCTTCTAAGTCACTTGAGTTTGACTTGGTTGCTTCTAGACCTGGTTTGAAAACAAAATCAACACAAGTCAAGTTCTAATAGAGTGAGTTGCTAGATTAACCCATCAACTAAGCTGACTTTATTAGCTATGTTATTTTTCATGGTTAAATAGCTAGCTAAAGTTTAAAATCATAGCTTAAAGACCTAATGTAAGTTATGGGTTTTCGGGATTAACAAGTCAAGCTCAAATTTTACTGTTTTTTTTTTAAATATAATCTAAAACAAAGTCTTTTTTAACATAATTTTTTTAAAAAAATATATTTACAAGGTCTCATCTAAATTATGATAGTGTCACTTGGATCGTTAGTTAATCCACTCGGTCACCTGAGTTTGCATAGGTAAACTACATGGGCGGTGCAAAACAAAACTCAACCTGGTCTGGATCCTAGGTTGATGGGACTTCGGGCCGGGCCGGGCCAGTTTTTAGAATAATGTCCCTCCCTCGGGCTGGTATGAGAACAATGGTTCGGACAGCTAACGTTGACATGGCAGGACATTATTTGTCGTCACAATTAAATGTACAAGTATGTAACCATTCTAGCCTTGTGGACCCCATACGTTCACGAATTTTTATTTTTATTTAAAAAAAAAAAAAACAGGAATAGAAGAGGAAGAAACGGCAACGCCCGTTTTAGGTTTTGGTAGTTCACTGATACAGAGACAGAACATAAACCCTAAACCTCCAAAGCTCGCCATATTTCTTTCTTTTTAATTTCTTTGTATAGAATAAAAAAATTATTGTAGTTAGGAAGAGAAAGAAAAATGCAGCACGATGAGGTCATATGGCAAGTTATCAGGCACAATCACTGCAGTTTTATGGCCAAGTAAAACCATTTTTTTTTAATTTTTTTAGCATATAGTAATGTTTTGAATTTGAATCTGTTTAAATTATCATTAATTTGATTTATTTTTTTTGGTGGGTTTGTTGTGTTTTTATTGTAGAATCACAACGGGGAATTTTTGTAGAAACCCATATAACATAACTGGGATTTGTAATCGGAGCTCTTGCCCTCTTGCTAATAGTCGCTATGCAACTATCCGTGATCACGATGGTATGTTTTTACCTTATGTATTATGTTTTTTTGTTTTTTTAATTTTCAATTCTCTCAAGTGAATTTTGTTTGTTGGGAGCAATGTAGAGAGGATGAGTGATTGTTGATAAAAAAATTTTCCGTTTTGTGTTGAAAATTAGAAATTTATACTGGGTTTTTCAGGGCATGTTGTAGTAAGCTATTACTGTTTCGGTTTCTGCTTTCCCGATGTTGGATTAGTAACTAATGGCTTGCTAATGAGGATTGAGTTGGTTCTTGTCAATTGCTTAGTTCTGATTTGGGATTGAATCCTTAGTTGGCTTTATGATCCACTTAAAACGGAGTCTTAGCTTCTTGTGGAGGTGTTGATCTTATTTGTCACTAAGCATTGGTTGGTTAGATGTATTATTGGATCTGGCGATGTGATTTATGTAGATACCTATCTAATTTGAGGTCTTGTCTGTTACAGTTTAATAATCTTGTCTTTTACGTATATTTGTGAGAATTAGATGATGGATTTGCTTTTGAATTAGCTGCTTGTGTGTTTCTGAACAGGTATCTTTTATTTATATATGAAGACTATTGAGAGAGCTCATAAACCCAATGAGTTATGGGAAAGAG